ACACGTTACTTATGTAATCAATTTAATAATTACATAACTCTTAATTAATTCATTTAATTAACTCATTCATGTTAATATAATCAATTAGTTCCATATTTTATTGACATTTATCCTATATCTATGCATTTCGAATAACAATTCATTTTATCTGCTGAAATTATTGTTGATTAATCGTGATAATTAGCGAGAAAAAAAAAAAAAAAAACATCACTTATGTATTTATTTTAGTAATTACATAAGTCTTAATGAATTAATTTTAATTAACTCATTCATGGTACTTTCCATTTTCAGCCTTTTTTCTCCACCAGGAATTTGATTAATTCCATTAATTTTATTTTTTGAAAAACTAAGATTTCTTTTTTCAATTTTTTTTTTCATTCTTTGATATTTGAAAATGATTCTTTTCGGAAAAATATGCAATAAATGTGAATCGTTAAATTTTTTAGCTTTCTTCTCAATATTTTAAATGAAATACAATTTGGAAGAAGATTAAAATCTTATCAGCACATCATAGATTAACCTAAACTAACAGATAAATATCTCCGGAAGTATGTATTCCAATTGCACACGATGTTAATCCGGTAATTCATTTTATTAAACGGATTGAGCTCAACCAATATATCATCTTTTTCCGGATATAATTTCATAATTTCACATATCAATTTACTCACTGATTATCACTGTTTTGTTATCACTTTAACAAAATATCACCCCTTGGATTGATTATGAAATTGATCATTTCATCCATATACTATCATCTTATCATGAAATATAATTCAGCAATCAATATTGACAACGATTTATTAGGAAAAAAAAAGAAAAAAATTTAGGACAATTAATTGATAGGATTAATTAGGTTGTTTGACAACGAATTAAACCATATAACTTTACAGATCGATCAATTTCTAAATGTAAAAATTGCATCAAACATTTAATCTTATTATTTATTCGATTTTTACTGTTGATCTTTGATCATTGTAAAAAGTGGAGACTTGTTTGTTTGTTTGTTTGTTTGTTTGTTTATTTGTTTGTTTATTTGTTTGTTTGTTTGTTTTGCATCTTTTTATTTTTCAAACATATACTGAATTAATTATTGGTAAAAAGTTCAATAAAATTACCACTTATAGTACAGAATATTTTATTTTCCTTCACTTTAGCTTCAATCAATTTTAGCTGGAAAAATTACCTCCAAAATTGGAAAATTAAAATTTATTGAAACTGAAAATACTTTTAAAACGCTGTTGATTCTGCGATTAACTATCACTGTTACATATTCATCCAATATATGGATCTTTCCGGATATCTTTTCGGATGCGTTAACTATTATTCGTTACATACTCACCCAATATATGATCTTTTCGGATTTTCGGAACTATCACTGTTTCATTTATGGCTAAAAAAAAGACGTAAAATAGCACTGCTATCTTCAAACGTAGAAATCATAGAAAGTAAAATAGCACTGCTATCTTGTAATCCTTTCGAATGCCCTTAATTTGTCGATATGTTTTGTTTGACGTATAACAAATTCAGGAAATGTCACCCTGATATTTCGCGGTACCGAAATATCTTAAACATCACGATCACATATGATTATAGTGTACATTAAGCAAACTGATTCAAAAATTCACAGTAATGTATTATATAAATGCAATAATCAATAATGAATCCGGAGAAATACAAAACTGAACCAATATTAAACGTAGAAATCATAGATAAATCCGGAAAGATAGAAAACTAAACCAGTAATAGACATAAAAATCATAGATGAATCCGGAAAGGTAGAAAACTAAACCAGTAATAGGCATGGAAATCGTGGATGAATCCGGAGAGATAGAAAACTAAACCAGTAATAGGCATGGAAATCATAGATGAATCCGGAGAGATAGAAAACTGAACCGGTAATAGGCATAGAAATCATAGATGAATCCGGAAAGATACGTGAGTGAATTATAGAAAGTGAATGAAGTAGAATTTCGGAAAAAAAAG